TGCAGTGGATCCAAATAAACATATCTTAGTGAAATTTGTCAGGGACAAGAGAAGAAGCAATAAACTTCTAGAATGGAAAAAACAATGATCAAATTTACACACATCAGAAACCAGCATGGTTTTAAGCTTCTCAACACACTCAGAAGCCAGAAGGCAATGGAGCAACGCCATCAAAAGTCAGAAGGAAAACATTTCCAGTGTAGAATTTTAACCCAAGTCATCAGTTAAGCATGATGGTAAAATAAAGACATTTTCAGACATGCAAGATCCCCAAAATCCATCCTTTCTCAGGAAGCCACTGAAGGATGCTTTCTACCCAAGCAGGAAAATAGACCAAGAAGAAAACAAACAAACAAGCATGGAATTAGAAAGCGGGAGACCCAGCATGAGATAATGAAAGGAGTCTCTAGGATAACGGTAAAGGGAGATACCTGGGGAACAGCTGTCCTGGCAGGCAGTGTGGCTGAGTCTACGTGACTCAAGTAGCAAGCACAACGAAACTCCCACAGCTATGGCCTCAGCCTCTGCACAGTTACTTTTAACCTCACGACGTGCTGGATGAAGTGTTCTATCAGAAGGGAAAGAAACCAAGATAAAAAGAGCAGGGATCCGAGAAACAAGGATTTTGACCCAAGAGAAAGGCAGCGTTTCAGTGATGACAACAGTTGTGTAGAAGGCCTAGAGAGAAACCAGCCCACCCACATAGGAGGCAAAAGGAGGTCTCTGGTAAGAAAGTTTCCAAGAGGGATTCCTGGGTGGCTCAGCGGTTTAGCAACTGCCTTGGGCCCAGGGCATGATCCTGGAGTCCTGGGATTGAGTCCCACATGAGGCTCCCTGCATGGAGCCTGCTTCTCCCTCTGCCTGTGTCTCTGCCTTACTCTGTGTGTGTGTGTGTGTGTGTGTGTGTGTCTCTCATGAATTAATAAATTTAAAAAAAAAATCTTAAAAAAAAAAGTTTCCAAGAAAAATAAACTGGAACTGCTACCTTATGTTACAAAACCCACCTTATGGAAACTGCCCTGAGGGACTCTTTAGAGGTATAGGAAGAATTAGCTAGGTAACAATAAAAATTAAGGCAATTATTAACTTCAAGAAAATGATATTCATAATATACTATGACATTTGGCTGAGAATATTTTCCTTTCATAATAATGCAAACACTAAATATAAATCTAACCCAAAATTATATTACTGTATAAAATATGGGAAAGGAGAAATTATCTAATGAGAAGCCAATAGGTAGTGTCTAAATTCACCGAATCAATAAGTAGCATTACACATTTGCTACTTAGAATTCTGGAATTAAGTAAATGCCAGAAGAAACAGTAAATAGATTCTAAATCGGTTCCCTCTAGAAGAGGGGAAGAAGGAGTGAGGAGGTGTGGACTGGAAACAACGTTGTTGTCAACCCTCTAGTTCCATTGGACTTTCCAAACTATGCACATGTGTTATTTTGAGAATTACTTTTTTTAAATCAATGATTTATCAGGTCTTAGCAAAGTGAAGTTCTGTGAAATGTAATTTCACGGGTAGAGTCTTGTTTTGTTATATGACAACATTTCAACAAATTTGAGACAAATTATAGAATTATCTTGAGAAATATTAAACAGAGGAATCATTGAATTACCGGTATTGCTCAGAGAGAGCTCCCTGGAAGAAGCAGATCATAAGCTGGGATGATGTATGTTACAAACCCTCTGAGGGGAGAATGTGAAAATTAAACCAGGAGTTTGATTTCCCAAGGCTATCGGTCTACCTCTTTTTTAAGTGTTCCTCCAAGAATGGCTATTTCTTCATCTCCCCAGAGCTTCCTTGGGCTCCTCTGGATGATACTGGCATAGGTATGAAAGGTATTTTTTTTCCTTAGGTTGATGGATTTATCATCAAAGTGGGAACATCTCCAAGTTCTCTGAAATGCACCATATACCCATTAGTCCAGCAATTCACAATATATTTACTGACATCTAGTCTGTGTCAGGCCCAGTGCCAGGCACTAGGGAGAGGCTAATAAAAATGACAAAGTTCTCTGGCCAAAGGACAACAGTTTGAGAATTAGGATTCCTCAAGGCCACCAAGAGGACTGGCATCTGCATCCACCCAATCGTCCAATCCAGAGCATCTTAAAGTGCCAAAGGCATCCTCCGCCTGGGAAAGTGAATCCCAGCAGATGCCCAGACCGGGAAGCGCAGGGAAGCGCAGGAAATCTACTTGCACGGTGATAATGTGGAGGGTGCATAAAACACACCTGACTGATGCTTCCAACAGGAAAACTAAAATTTGTTTGTGGGGAGACAGCGCTAAAATAAAAGAGGCAGCATTTAATCTCAACCATTTCCTGTGACTTGGATTTGTTTTTAAAAATTGGCCGCCTTATCATTTTCTTAGTCACCTTTTTCTCTAGGCTTGTTGGAGGCGTCGTCTCTCCCAGCAACCTCCATCTGCTTGGAAAAACAGAATCAAGAGAATGAAGAGCCATGATGACACATCCGTCAGTGGATGAAAATATTAGGAGAAAATCAATACATGTACTACCAGCGGCATTAAACCTTAGTGATGCCCTCCCCAACCTAGTAACGCGGCGAGGTAGAAACTCGCGGAGGCCAGCTGGGAGCCACTGCTTCTGGTAACAAGGAGCATTTGAAGGGATCCCTGGGTGGCGCAGCGGTTTGGCGCCTGCCTTTGGCCCAGGGCGCGATCCTGGAGACCCGGGATCGAATCCCACGTCGGGCTCCCGGTGCATGGAGCCTGCTTCTCCCTCTGCCTGTGTCTCTGCCTCTCTCTCTCTCTCTCTCTCTCACTGTGTGCCTATCATAAATAAATTAAAAAAAAAAAAAAAGAAAAGAAAAGCCTGCAAATCACTGCTCCTAATTGCCGAGCCGTACGGTTAGGTTATTTCAGTTCTCTGACAGCAAATACCGATCATCTCCAGGGCAGCCCTGGCGGCTCAGCGTTTAGCGCCGGGGCGGCCCCGGGCGTGATCCTGGAGACTCGGGATCGAGTCCCGCGTGGGGCTCCCGGGGCTCCCTGCATGGAACCTGCTTCTCCCTCTGCCTGTGTCTCTGCCTCTCTTCCTCTCTGTGTCTCTCATGAATAAATAAATAAAATCTTTAAAAAAAAATTCATCTCTTGGGGTCCTCTTTGCCCCAAACGCTGTCGGGTGACTTGTGTTCCTGTTGTTCCCACGCTAGTACATGCAGATCCAATGGCATCTCCGAATTCTTTTTTTTTTTAATCAAAACTAGTGTTTGTGTCGTGTCCCCCGCCACTGGCCATCCGGAATCCTGAGACCGCCGCGCCCGTGGGTGGGGACCCTGCTCTCCGGGAGGTCGCCCCGGTTAGCGCGCGCTGTTGCAAAGGCCGGGCCCAGCGACCTTGGGTCGGGCCGCGAGCGCCCCGGAGCCCCCCCACCCCCACTCCCACCTCCGGGGGAGGGGGGAGCCCGGGCGGGAGCCGCGGCACGGGCTGGCGGGGAGGAGAGCCGCGGAGAAGGTGGGGAATCAGAGTCCCGCGTGTTCCTCGAGGGTGCAACCCCCGTTTGAGTGACAAATGACGAGGACGACCCGTAGGAACAACTTAAGCGCGAGTCTCCCCGGATCCGTCTCCGTCTGTGGGCGCCCTCCGACTCACCTCGCCCCCACGCGGGCTTCCCGCGCCCCTGCCGGGACCAGCCTCCGGACCCCCTTCCCCGCCGCGGGCCGCGGATGGAGCACCCCTTCGGCCCCTCCACTCTCCCGCCGGCGCCCAACGCCTCCGCGCCCGGCTCCCCGGGCTGGGGCGCCAACCTCACGTCCGGACACGGGGCGCCGCCGCCCGGAGCGCCCGGCCGCCGCGTCCGCCTGGCGCTGCTGGGGGCCGTCGTGCTGGTGGCGGCGGCGGCCAACGCCGCGGTGCTGTGCCGCCTGCGCGGCGGGGGCGGGCCCGGGGCGGGCCCCAAGCGCCCGCGGATGGACCTCCTGCTGGCGCACCTGGCGGCCGCCGACCTGCTCGCGGCGGGGGGCGGCGCGCTGGCGCAGCTGGTCCGGGAGCTGCGGGCCGGGCCGCCCGGGGACCTGTCGGGCCGCCTCGTGCGCCTGCTGCGGGCGTCGGGCCGCGGCGCCTCGGCGCACCTCGTGGTGCTCGTGGCCCTGGAGCGCCAGCGCGCCGTGCGCCGCCCGCAGGCCCGGCCGCTGCCCGCGCGCGCCCTCGCCGCCCTGGGCTGGCTGCTGGCGCTGCTGCTGGCGCTGCCCGCCGCCCTGGCGGCGCCCCCGCCGCGCTGGCCCCGGCGGCTCTACGCGCTCTACGAGGCGGTGGCGGGCTTCGCGGCGCCGGCCGCCGTGCTGGGCGTGGCGTGCAGCCGCCTGCTGTGCGCCTGGCGGCGGCGCCTGCCCCGGGCCCCCGCGCCCCCCGCCCCCTCCGCGCCCCCCGCGCTGCCCCCCGCGAAGCTGCAGAGTCTCAAGATGAGCCTGGCGCTGGCGCTGCTGTTCGTGGGCTGCGAGCTGCCCCACTGCGCCGCGGGGCTGGCGGCCGCGTGGGCGTCCGGGCGGGCGGGGGCCCGGGAGGCCGAGGGCCCGGCGGCCGCGCTGCAGCTCGTGGCGGTGGCCCGGGGCGCCCTGGACCCCTTCGTCTACCTCCTCTTCCAGGCGGACGCGCGCCCGCGGCTGCGGCGGCTGCTGCGAGGGCGGCTGGGCGCCGTCTGCGGCTCGCGGGGCGCGGCGGAGGGCGCCGGGGAGCACCGGGCGCTGCACCGCCACCGCTGGCCGCGGCCCCACTACCACCACGCCAGGCGGGGGCCGCCGGAGCTGGGCTGCGCGCGCCCCCCGCCGCCGCCGCCGCGGCCGCTGCCCTGCTCCTGCTCCTGCGACAGCGCCTTCTAGCCGCGCCCGGGCCCGGGCCTCCGCCGGGGCCTCTGGCGCCGCCACGCGGCCTCCGCGCAGCACGAGGCCGCCGGGGTCCCTGCAGGTCACCGCGCCCGGCGCTGGAGCCCAGGCTGCCCCCGTGCCACGCTCCCTGCCCTGCCGAGGATGACCTTTCCTACACTCTCCCCGTTCTCCCTCTCCCTCGCCCCCCCCACCCCCCAGCTTGGAGACACGGGGACCCTGGGAGGAACACTCGAAGGCACCGACTTCTTTTTGCGGCTCTGTCTCATGCTCCCGTCGTGCTCTGCATAAGCTCGTGTGGTTTGGCTAAATTTGTCGAGCTTTCGTTACGTGCCGTGTTGCCGTCTGTTTTTACTTCTTTGGAATCGTGTTTAAAGCAAGTGTACCTTCGAGGCCAGAGGAGAATCTGCCGTGGCCTCCAGGAGGAGCGTCCCCACACTGGCCTCCCGGAGGGGCCTGCAAGTTGTACCAGGATGCTGCTGTCGGAAATGCAGCCAGGCCGTCACTGCAGAGCCACAGAGTGTCTGTAAAATAAAAGCATTACCCACAGAGCAATTAGTACTTCTTTTATTAAGGAAAAAAAGGGGGGGGGGCAGCTCGGGTGGCTCAGGGGTTTAGTGCCACCTTCAGCCCAGGGCCTGATCCTGGAGACGCAGGGTCGAGTCCCACGTCGGGCTCCCTGCATGGAGCCTGTTTCTCCCTCTGCCTTTCTGTGTGTGTGTGTCATGAATGAATAAAATCTTCAAAAAAAGAAAGAGGAAACATGGTAATGTGTTTTCTCAGAAGAAAATCAGCGTGGCCTTTATTTCCAGTCTTCAATAGGAAGTCCTTGTAGGAAGGACACATAAAAGCTTCCTTTAGCCCCTTTCAAATACGCACGGTTTCTGTAGGTGATTGTGTCTGTGCCCAAACCAGCTTCCTCGGCTAAGGTGCTGTGCTCAGGGAGCATCTCCCGGCAGAGTCCCCAGCAAACTAGAGAAACCAAACAGCCAAGTGGTCCCTTTGGGCCGGGCTCACTGTCCCAGACGAGCCTCCTGGAGATCTGCAGGAAGAAAGCTGAAGCCCCCCACAGTGTTGCATGTATATATTTAAAAAAAAAAAAAAACCCTTTTAACAAACCGAAGGCAATGCCTATTGGTGTAGATTGCTGAGAAAAAAGTCAAGAAGCAGATTTAATCAGTGACCTCCTCCTCTTCAGTGTCTGTCCTTGGTTCTAGAAAGAAGTGGTAACACTTATATCCACATGTTTACCAGGGTCTTTCATGAGAATCTGCGAGCTTTGCGTGACAGTGCTTCCTGCTCATGCGCAAATGCCAAACTAAGCCGGAGAAAGGGGAAATGTTTGCTAGAGTTCACTTGAAGAGCCAACGCTCTTTGAGGGCTTTGTTTACTTCACTGATGTATCCCAAACTCTTAATGTACTAGGCACTCAACACCTATTTGTTGAATGATTCATCATATGAGTTAGGCAAAGATAGACTAGATACAAGAGTTACAAAAATCTCCATTAAGCTTGATTTACCTTTTCCCAAAACTCTGTCAAAAATGTTAGAGGTTTTCCTTCATCTTTTTAATCTTCCCCACCCTGCTTAGGATACTATGTGTATAATACACGAAGAATAAGTCAGCCAAAGAGAGAACACAGCCGTCTTCATGACATTATTTTTGTTCACTAGTAAACATTAATTCCTTATTTTGTGCTAAGCAATGTGTTAGGCATTGAACATACTAAGATGAATAACACACATTTTTCCCTCAAAGACCTTATAATCATATGTAGGAGACTCTAACAGTTACCTGCACAGTATCACATATGCTTTAATAAGGGTTCAAGCCTGGGTGTCGGGTCACTGAAAAAGAAAATCTACAACCTCGGGAGACTGAAGTGGTCATCCCATGATGGTATGAAAGGCCAACTAATGGGAAGGGGGGAATGGGCAAAGGCAGGGATGAAGGCAGAAGCACAAAGAGACTCAAAATAGGACCTACTGTATTACTTTGAAGGCTCCCAACTGAGATAATTTAAGCCAGTTGAGTTGCTTGTTTCTGTTATCTGCAATTGAGAGCACCCTAACAAAAAAATGAGTTTAAATTTATCTTCTCACATAACAAGGAGTCCAGTGGTAGGGCTGCTCCAAAGTTGGTTAGTTGAGTAGCTTCATAAGTTCATCATCAACGACCTAGCTCCTTTTCATCTTTCTCTTTGGCCATTCTGAACTGGTGGACTTGACAATAAGGTCTGAAGCCCTGAGGCCACAAAATGGCTACTACAGTTCCAGGCATCACGTTCAAATATGACAATATCCAGAAAAGGAAGAATTTCTTTCTTTGTACAGAACTATATCATATACCCATATGTAGACCATTGCAAGAGCAATGGGGCCACCATGCTGGCTTAGATATGAGCTGATGATATGAACTGCACAGTTAAGAGGTGAAAAAAAAATGAGACTTCCATTTTTTCTTTTAAGAAAAGAAAGGAAAGTGCTTATAGGAGGACAAGACTAAACTTTTATACAACTGCCAAATTGTTAGACTGATTTCTATGATCTATTAGAGATATTCCTCTGTGCTAAAAATTATAAAAAATCTCCATCTGGGTCAAAAATACAGAGTATAAAAAATACAGAGTATATATTTATGTAATTTGAAATTAAGCTGTATTATCCCAAGATTTGTGAAGATTTGGTTAATCTCAATTCATACTGAAATACTTTTATGGCTAAGGAACTTTCTCTAATCTTAACTAAATCTGAGCCTTGAATGTAGATCTAGGTGACTTGCTTCTCATCTTTAGAGTCATTTGTGAGTTAAGAAATTTGGAGCATCCCCTCAGAATGATCAGCATTGATCCCAGGAACCTGCATTGCTATAGACAGCTCAGAGATTCAGTTCTGTCTCCATCAAGGAACACCACAAAGTTATTTTACATTTAGACTCTTATCCGGGAATTGACTGCTGTGGTTCAGAAGAGGTTTGGTTTTCCTGAGGGCAGTGTAGAGCTCTATGCGGAAAAGGTGGCCACAAGAGGTCTATGTGCTATTGCCCAGGCAGAGTCACTGCGTTACAAACTCCTAGGAGGCCTTGCTCTGCGGAGGGCCTGCTATGGTGTGCTGCGGTTCATCATGGAGAGTGGGGCCAAAGGCTGTGAGGTCGTGGTGTCTGGGAAACTCCGAGGACAGAGGGCTAAATCCATGAAGTTTGTGGATGGCCTGATGATTCACAGTGGAGACCTTGTTAACTACTACGTTGACACAGCTGTGCGCCATGTGCTGCTCAGACAGGGTGTGCTGGGCATCAAAGTCAAGATCATGCTTCCCTGGGACCCTAGTGGTAAGATTGGCCCTAAGAAGCCCCTGTCGGATCACGTGAGCATTGTGGAACCCAAGGATGAGATACTGCCCACCACCCCCATCTCAGAACAGAAGGGTGGGAAGCCAGAGCCTCCTGCTATGCCGCAGCCAGTACCCACAGCATAAATAGGGTCTCCTTGGCAGTTGGATCTGGAGGCTGGATTTTACTCTGTGAAGACCTTTAATAAAATATTTGACTAAAAAAAAAAAAAAAAACTGGGACATACCATTCAAACTTCACAGCAAAGGTATGTGAACAGTTGACACTGAACTTGATCTCTTTTCTAGGTATCACCCAAATAGTATATGACTAGAGGAGACCAGACCATACTTGGAGTTTGGGAGGAATCAAATAACACACTCTTACCCACTGCACATTTTCCCTTGGAGTTATATTTTCAGTAGGCTGCCACACACAGGCCTAGACTGCAGGACTCCAGGAGGCACTATTCACATAGATGGCAGGGTAAATGTCACCACAAGGACTTTAAAGCCTAAATACAAAGAATTCTATATATCTTTAAAAAAATAATTGGCTGCATGGTAACAAACAGCTAAAATAAGTAAACATGACCTATTACATAATTTAAATCAGAGAGTATGTAGAAAACAGCCAAGAGTGTAACTAAAACCACAATTAGTGATTAGCTATAACTCATTTACTAAAAATAGAATAGTTGAGCTGATTTATGAAAGAGAAGGTAGATTTTCTCTAAGCTTCCTAGGAAGCTTCCTGAGAAACACAAAAGAAAGAAAATTAAAGGAGTTTCCCTCCCATTCCTAAAAGGTTCTGACTTGATCAAAGAGAAGACATTATAATGAAAATGAATACATTAATTTTATTTATTAGCTAATTAAACAGATGTTTTGCTGATTTGTGAGGCAGTATAATGAAAAGAGTGGTCTTTAGAGCTATGGATCTGGACTTGAATTTCATCGCTACCACTTAGTCACTGTGTGATTTTAGGCTGTTTGCTGAATCTTTCTGAGTCTTGATTTTCTTTTTTTTTTCTTTTTTTTTGAGTCTTGATTTACTTTTCTTATCAGTAAGTATGGGATTTTTATTATCTACTTCATAGGGTTGATATATGTAAAATACCTGATGGGAAGGGAGGGGAGTCCTGTCAACAGTCTCTTCAGAGTCATCCTAGTACTCAATATATGACTGTTACTATTTTCTAACCCTGGGTCGTAAGGGATAAAATCCAGTTGAGTAATATTACATGAAGGGAAGCAAGGGATCTTGGGGAATCAACCTATAGAAGATTAATGCAGCAATGGTGGCACATAGTGATAAGGAAGTTGCACCTTACAGAATGAATACTTTGCACAGTAATTGTCGACTGCCTTCCTGGCATCCATTTCTCCTTTTCTACCAGGACTCCGATTCTTGCACCTAACGCCTCTAAGGACGAGCCAAGTGCTTTGAGGGAAGCTGAACCCTCTCCCACTCTAAGACTGGACCTTAATTAGTCTAAGCATATCAAAGTAATTTCACTCCCCTTACCTCCATGGCCTGCTCAGGACTGGTCATGTGATCCAGTTAAGATCAATGAGATGTGCTGCAGTGGAAGGAGAGTTGCTGGGGCTTCTAGGAAGGAGGAAGCTCTCTTCTAAGAGAGCCATGAGAGCCAGTATGCTCTCTCCATCTCTCCCTGAATGAAGGTAAACAGGTAGTGCTGCTGGCCTGCTGGAAGCCCACCAATGACCATCAGAGGTACCAGCCAGAAGATGAATCCAACACTGTGGATATGGCAGAGAGGAGAGATGAAAAGAACTTAGGTCCCTAATGACCTCACTGAGCTGTCAGGTAAACACCAGAGGCATGCCTATTGGATGTCCTGTTAAATGAGATATATTTTCTTATTTTTTGAAGCAGTTGAGCTGGGTTTTCTGTTGTCTGTGGCAGCCAGCATCCTCTAATTGGAGGAGTCTGGCAAGAAAGAGTCTCATTTTAGCTTATTGCATGTTCTTCATCAAAGAAAAAAGACCATTCCAAGTGTACTTTTATTTAGTTCATCAGCCAGTATATATTGAAGAACTTTATTGGACACTATGTTGAGCATAGTGGGGGCAAAGGGATGAAAATCAAATATGTAACTCTTGTATTTAAAAAATGTGTATCTTATGGAGAACTATGACTTTTGTGGTAAGGACTTTGTTGAGAAATCTCAGCCTACAATTATTAATGTTATGGGACATTATTTGCAAATTCTTACCATCGGTGATATGACTCATTCATTCATTCATTCATTCATTTGTTCATTTAGTATTTATTAAAGATCCATCATGTGGGGATCCCTGGGTGGCGCAGCGGTTTGGCGCCGGCCTTTGGCCCAGGGCGCGATCCTGGAGACCCCGGATCGAATCCCACATCGGGCTCCCGGTGCACGGAGCCTGCTTCTCCCTCTGCCTGTGTCTCTGCCTCTCTCTGTGTGTGTGTGTGACTATCCTAAGTAAATAAAAATTAAAAAAAAGATCCATCATGTGCAAAGTACATGTGAACTTTTATATATATAGATATATATCATTTATCATAGACATACATTCCACTTAAACTTTAGCTTTTGGATGGGAACTTAGGACCAACTATTACTGGTTGACCAAACCGGGAATTGACAACCACAAAATGGGTTGGCGTAATTATATAATGGCTTCCAGTGAATCACTCTTCTCAATACCCACCCCTAATCTTTTCCCGCAGAGTCTGGGCTTGGTCATGGGACCTACATTGGCAGTAGATATCAGAAGATTATTCACAAGCAGGATCTTGAAAAGCATATACACATGGGGCTTGCCCCTGATGCCTAACATCACCATGGCATGAAGAAGTCAGCAATGAAAGATCATATGGAGAAGGAGGCCCAGCTACTTAGCCATCACAGTTGAGCGCAGTTCCCAACTGACCCTCCAGCTAAATGCAGCCACATGAGTGAGCCCACGCTAGACAAACAGAACTGTTGAGCTAACCCCCAGATCTGTAGAAATAAGAAATCACAGCAATTAAGTTTGGGTGTTAGTTTGCTTTGCAGCAATAGATAACTAAATCACATCAGGGTAGTAAAATGGTACTGGATACAGTAAAAATGGAAGTCAAATGACCCAGATATCAGAACATACGGGTTTTAATCTTCCACCAAATGTCAAATTGGGATATTTAACTGCTTACCATGTAATCTGATGAGACTTCACACCAACCTGAAATGCAGACAACCCTAAGGGGAATATCAGGCTCAAGGGAAAGAGTTAACCCTTTTTCCATGTGGTGAAATCTATTACCAAACCCTGGCAGTTCTGGGTATCATTTTATTAATAAGCAAGGTACTATTGTGTGTCTTACAAAATACCTGTAAGATAAATGAGAACCATAATAATGACAGCTAAAATTTATTAAATAATATTTATGAGCAGTAGACAGCAAAACAAAGTTTACTGAGCAAGAGAAATTGAGCAATGGTACAAAGCTCCTGAAGAGGAAGGGGACCCGAGAAGGCTGCTCTAAATAATTTCTATGAAGCTTGACATTTTACAAGCATCAATTCAATTAATCCTCACAACAACTAAAGTGATATATCATAATCTCCATCTTATAGATAAGAAAACTGGAGCTAAGGATAACTTGCCCATCGTCAAACATCTAGTAAATAGCAGAGGTAAAGTTGTGTGTGTGTGTTGGGGGGTTGGGAGGGTCTTCATTGTTGTTGGTGTTGTTTTGTCATGTGAACAAGTAATAGCCAAGAAGTTCAGCTGAGCCTAAGACACAGGTCTTGCTCTTTGTAAGATGTGTCTGTTACAGCCCCAGCCTGGAAACACAAGGGTGAGGTAGGAGAGAACATGTTAGATAAAAAATGGCTACCTGCAGAATGAAATGTATTTTAGAAAAAGTATACATTATATCAGAGAGTTTCATCATTTTAGCCTCCAAACTATCCAAGTAAAGAACTAACTTGCTAGGAATGGAGGAGACTGCCAACTACTCACCAAAATCCATTTTCCCCTTTACTTATGTGGCTGCTCAGCCAGAGACTACATTTCCCAGCCTCCTTTGCATCTAGCTAGAGCCACTTAACTATGTTCTTAGCAATGGAGTGTGAGCAAAAGACACATGTGGCTTCCAGGCGTGGGTCTTAAAATGTAGACCATGTGATCTTCCATGTGGTCTTTCCCCTTCCTATTGGCTGAAAAATATAATGTGATAATCACACAATGTAACAATGATCAGATTTAGCCACACAGATGAGGACAACATTCTAGAGGGTGGGTGGCAGAGCAAGACCATGAAAGGAATCTGGGTCCTTTCAGGATCTTGCAGGACATAGCGTACACTGGACAAATAATTATGTAACAGGGAAATGAATTTCTGTTGTCTTTAAGCCACTGAGTTTTGGGAATCTCGTTATTACAGCTAGCTTTTACTTCAATTTATATATTGAGGTTGTATTAGATTAGACTAAGGGATGGCTTTGCTTCTCATTTTTTGTTCCACAGAGCTTCCAGTATTTCCAGGGGAACTTGGTGTGAATTTAAGTGGACCAAGTCTAGAATGTGAAACTCTTTAGAGGCTTGAGAAGGGACCCGGGGTCCAGAACGTCTGAACCAAATCATGCCTATGGGATGTCTTTTATTTGCCCCAAAGGACATCACTTAACCTTAGGAAACACTTTCCATTTTGAAAAAAATCTACAAATTGAGTATGTTGGAGAAGCCTGATGTCCATGATTATCAGTACAAGAGCAGGCATAAAAAATGGAGCAAGCTTTGTGGTTACCCACAATAACATCGATTATTCTCCTGCCTTCCTAAAAGAATCTTAATTTTGTTCACGACTAACATGTTCTAACTATTGTTATGCAACAACCTATCCCAAATCTTGTGGTGTAAAATTACCACTATTTAATTATACTTACGGATTTTGTGGGTTAGGATTTGGACAGAGTATAGGAGGGCTGGCTTCTTTCTACTATGAGACCTGGGGCCTTACAGGGGGAAGACTCAAATAGCTGGAGTCTACAATCACCTGGGAGCTTCTTTACTCATATGTCTGCTCCCTTGACTGGAATATTCAAATGCTGAGCTCATCAGGAACTACTGACTAGAGTGCCTAACCATGGCCTTCCATGTGGCTTTGACTTTCTTACTGAATGGCAGCCTTAGAGCCTTCTCCTAAGGCAGCTCAAGTTTTCTTTTCTTTTTTTTTTTTTTTCAGCTCAAGTTTT